ATATACTGATTCTTACGGCAATATAAGCTAGTTTTCCCGAGCACAAAAGGAGACTGGTGTTTTTCATTACTTTTTTTCTGTTCATATTGTATCATTGCTTAATGAAGGGATTTTTCATGCTTTAATCATTCACCATTCAATGATATTTTTGATAACAATTTTCAAGTTTTAATCTTGTCAAATTGACCAATGCAAATCAGCATTATTTGAGAGATGGTCTTCACAGAAGACTGGTAACAAGTTATCTTATGACAGGTATCAATAATCAAATTTATGCTGAAAAGCGCACTCCTCTTTGCATATGTCAACATTATGAGATCATTACCCCATGATTGTATAACCGTACCTCAATGTTTTGATACAGACCGGCACAGCACACAATTGATCAAGACAATGGATTTAAATCTAGTGCTAGTTGGATTATTATCATAATTATATCTTTCCTTTTGTGTCAATTGTTGCTTTTTTTCGCTCGTGCTTCTTTCTTGTCTCGAGTGCTTCTTTCTTGTGATCGAGCTAACAGTCAAAAGATCCTATGATTCATGTGTGTGCCTTTGTTTTTCCTAGAATCTAAAACGAGTTCCAGCAACAAAGGACTTTTCATCTCAAGGCCCTTTCAACACTCGAGTCTCAAAATGGAGTTCTGGAGTTCTGCCTCTTAACTACCATCATGAGTTTCAAGTCTCCTCCAAGTCCCAGCGGTTTTGATACATTCATCCATTCAACAATCCTGCCGGTGCCTCATCCATCATCTGATTTCGTAACCCTTCTTCAAATTCTAGTCGCGCAAGAATCAATGAGTCATGAAGGTCAGTACATGATATGTCTATCCATCTTCTTTTGTTTTTATTGACGCGAATTTTATCTCATTTCAAGGCCCCGACACAATGTTCTGGAAGAATGATGGACCTGCGACCTCAGTCAAAGCTGTAAATCGAACAGTAGCTAATTGGCTACCAGATCGCAATTCAGCGTATTATGTGGCAACGACCGATTTTACGAAATTTCTGCTTGGTCGTATCACATTAGATTCTCCTTATCCAACCAAAGCGACCTCCTCAGAAATCACGCGGCTACCAGATCTTACATTCGAACAAATAATCACCGACCGCTCAATCTTTTCAATACCTCTGGAACCTGCCCCTTTGTATACAGAATCACCACGAATCTCTCGTCGACAGAAGGAGACCTGGCAAACACACAAGCAGCAGTTTTTACTCGACTTGGAACATTCAGGGATCCCTAGGGCCACATTTGCTTGGAATCTTTCCGACAAATCCAAGTGGAATCAAGTCATGCTGGCATTTGTTGTTAAGCACTTCCAGCAAGCTCATGATAAAGGGGCATTCGCTCAGTACCCCATCAACGAAGAGCATGGGGGTACTAATATCTGTCTTGGAGTTCTAGAGCGATGGCTTCGCGGACAATGTCAGGAATTCAAGAAAAAACACATGAATCCGAGGTATCGGGAGACAGAGAAGCAGAAGAAAGACAGAGCAAAAGTGGGTGGATTTGAGTGCTCTTCATGTCTCGATTTGACAATTGTTTTGACTGATTCAATTCTGTACAGCTCAAAAAATATCGTCAGGCAACACTCGAGGAATGTTTACATTCAGATGGAGATCTTCTTGATCTTCTTGATAGATTAGTTCCTGACTCCACTTGTTGCTCTGACACCAAAGAAGATGAACACCACAAGCTTCGAGCGGTCACCGTACACTGGAGGAGCAGCGAGTATAATGAGTTTTTTCGTGTCCTTGACAAGCTATCTTACAAGCACCAGAAAGACAGCAAAGGTTCTCGTTGGGCATCCAACAGATTTGACTCAAGAAGAGCGCCCGCAATCCGGATTGATTATTCTCGAAGGGTAAAGAAAAACTTGCCAGAGAATTTCTACTGTCCCATCTTTCTGTCCAAACTTTCAACCACTGAGAGGGCTCTTCTCACTAGCACACCGGCATCTTCTATACTCGTTTGTTTAACTTCCAAAATCAAATCATTATTGCCCTAGAGCTGAATTTATCATCAATACATCAAATCTGACTTGAAAAAACTTATCACCCTTGATACTTTCAAACAAAGTAAAGGCAAAGCAGAAGTAAAAATGAAAAGATTATGTTTTCTCGATTATTCATACAAGTATTACCACTTTTAGAAGAAAATGAAATTAAGATATTCTCTTTGAAGTAATTATATCGATTGCTTTAGAACCATCACCTTTCTGTCCTCCCCAACTGCCGCGAAAAAAAACAAATCAGCCCTAAACTTCATTTGCAAAAGAAGAAACTAACCTCACTGCAACATATTCTCGTGTCCAGTTTGATGATTTCTCACAAGAAATGAATCCCAAGAAGAATGTGAATGCTTTGAAGTATCTTTGTATGATTGATTTGGCTTCTGTTTGTGTTGCTCCCACTCTTAATCTTTTCCTTTGTTTCCTTCTATTTCTGAATTCAAATCTGATCTTAATTTTTTTAGCCCTATTGAGAAAAAACACACTGATCGATTCAAAATTAACCAATGATATAAACAAATTGTAAAGGGAAAAGAAAAAATACTAGACTTGAGTTCAGTTTCGATTTCATAAGTTATTTCCTGTAACCAATTGTAAAATGAATTGGTAGTGCGGCAAGATCTAGAAACAAAGACCCAAAGAGCGAAAATGTGAACCTAAATCGAGAAAAAAAATCAAGTTCGTGTGACTTGGATGTTTTGGCGATGAGTGAAAGGTTACAAAGCAGGAAGTACACAAGCCTGAATTATCTGTCCGGCTGGAATTGAGTCGTTGAGTTGATACGTTGATAAGTTCTTGAGCCAAGCTTGAGGAGCGACTACGAGGCTGTGACTGGCTGTGATGACGACCTGCAACATCGGGGGCCGTGGCCCCCTCGGTCCTTGAGATGAAACTTACATACATATGTATGCGAGTGTAAACGTGTGTTGTATATATCAGTCGTCGTTTTCAAAGGCATCCAGAGAGATCTGGAGAGGATCAGGGTAGAAGACCGCCTCAAGCAGCTGTGCTTTGTCTCTGTATGTACAGCCGCTTGAAGCAGACGGATGATCACCTGCCATGTTAGATGTTGGCACGTCTCAACCTGAACAAAAGGCTAAGTCTGCTAAGCCTTTGTGCTCAGTCGACCCTGCTGAACATGGGGATTCGGTCGGACACCATTCAATCACGAGATAAAATTCAGACAATGTTGTGACCTCGACGTCGAGGTCGCATCAAACAGGCACTGTGTCAAATATTGTCCAAATTGCTTCTATAAAGGCTCATTTTCTCCGTAATTGTCAGGTCTTTCTGATGGAACATCTACTTAACCCCTGTGAGATCTGTGGCAACCTCTACAACACCGTATGTCCCGCTGTTCAGCGTATTTTAGTTCTTACAACTCACAGGGACACAATCCTTAATAACTTTTCCAAAAAGTGTCCAAAATGATCCAGTAAGGGCTCATTTTCTCCGCCAATGTGAGATCTTTCTGATGGAACACTTATTTTACCTCTATGACATGTGTGGAACCCTCTATAACCCCATATGTCCTCCTGTTCCACGTTGTACCACACAAAGAGCAAACCCTGAATAACATTTTCAATTTTGTTCCAAATTGCTTGAGTGAGGACTCATTTTTTCAGTAAATGTGTCCTCTTTCTGATGGTACCATCACAGAACCCCTACAACATATGTGGAAACCTCTGCAACCCCAGATATGTTCTCCCGGTTCCAGGTTGTACCACACAAGGGCATGCTCCTCAATAACTGTTTCACTTTTGGTCCAAATTGCTTCTTTAAGAGATCATTGTTTCCGCCAATATTGGATCTATCCCATGGTATCATCACAACCCCCCTACAACTTCTGTAGGCACCTATACAGCTCCAAATATGTTTCCCCGTTCCATGTAGTTATAGTACTACACACGGACAATCCTGAATAACTTTTTGAATTTTGGTGTCAATACATCAAATGTGTTAGCTCATACTGAATGCCAAATGTGAATTCATCTGATGTCAGCATCACTTTACCACTATTGTGGCCAACTATTTACCTACATGACCCTGTGTCGTGTGTGTTTCCCTTTCAGCATAGTAGCCCCAAGGACACCTTTGTCATTAACTAAATCAATTTTAACCCAAATATCTTAATTGCAGATTAACCCAATATTTCAATTAATTATGTATCTTAAGATACCAACACAATCCATCTACAACAATACCTGTCACATTTCATAGGAGCCCTTGTACATTTCTTGGTCTTGGTTAGCGTAGTAGCCCACAAGATCCACAGTATTTTTATTGCAATCAAAAATTCTTCAGTAATGGTTCATTTTCTGCGCCAAAATCAGCTCTTTTCCATGGTAACAACACCTAACTCCCTATGAGAACCCCTGCGTTACCTTGTACATTCATGTAGCTTTGTATTTACGTTCAGAGCAATGATTCTAAATAACTTTTATTTTTCCTGTTTCTTGGTAAACAAGCATATATATTTAAGATCACATCTTTATGAACCTCAATGCCATGGTACTTGGCTCCAGTTTTCATCTATGAGGTGCTGCTCAAGTGCAATTGCATAACTTGATATTATTTTGGCTACTAGATTGTTATGTTCTGCATCTTAAGTTCAAAATCAAGTAAGAATCTTTGGTTTGTACCGTAGCTTTCTACATGCGCAAATTGGCAGAGATAGTTGCAGTTTAACATTGCCAAAGAGTAAACCAATCTATTGGGACAGAGTTTGTCTTTTCTCCCACTTTATCAGGGTAGGGATGAGTGACCTTCAACGTTGAGTTAGTTAGATTTCACAACGTGCAATTCTAATGGTGAGTTTCTGCCAAGTTTAGTTGGTCAGAAACTTTTGATTTTACCAATTTCAAATAATTTGAATGAACCTGACCTGCATTACTTTGCTCTTGGATCCGCTGTATTAATCTTAATCATCAACTTTGAAAATTTGCAAACATTCCTTCACCTTCTTCTTGCACACATCAACTTCATTATGAACCAACATAATCCCTATGACTCCGGAATACCTGGTCATGCTCACATGGCCACATCACAAGCAACGAGTCCTGGTCAGCACATAACTCAACACACAATCAATCAACCCAACTTTCATCACACTGGGTTCATTGGTGTTCATCAACACAGTCAGAATCACGGAGATATTCATAATAATCATGCTCAAAATCCATTGCTGGAACAACCTGGTGGTCAGCAAAATCAAGCTCAGCACATCCAACAGAATATGTATGACTATACCCTTCCCGACTATCATCATTCTCGTGATATCCACAACAACTAGGATAATTCTGTCAGTTATCCTCGCTATCCACCTGACTTGACTCCTCACAGTCAGCAAAGTCAAGATCAACATTCAAACTGTCTTCAGACCTCCGAACAAAGTCAAGCTCATCATACAACACGCGAACGCGAGGTAGACCCTCACACCGCCATAGTTTCTCCTGCAGTTAATTCACATGTTGCTTCGGTCCTTGCGCTGGAGTCGCATCCTCCTGTCAGACAACCTAATCAAAGCGTGCAAGTATCACTTACTACTCACACCACTGGAACTACTCGTCCTGAACATCATCCCCCTAGCGCATCTCAGAAACGTAACAATGGCCGCCGCCGTCAAGATCCGCCACGATCAACCACCACCAGCACAACAACACCCACTCCAACGCAGACACAAGCACCTACAACTACGAGGGCCATTGTCAATCTTTTTCTCCCTAACTCACTCAGGGGAGAAAAGGATCCTTTGCGACTACCACCATCAAATCTTCCAACACTAGAAGATATGATGAAAAAGTCTTCTGTCGAACTGCGAACACTCGCTGGAAAGCATGCTAAGGGGACTAATGTACCACCAGCTTTTCAAGATCACTTCATGCGTTTGTACGATGAGTTTGATAAGATACTGGCAATAAACTGCATAAATAATCAAGTCTCGGTTCCGGCAGTACGTAAACTATGGTAAGTTGAGTTGGTATCCTACAATCTAACATCATAGAAATTTACTTATGTACAACATTACAGGGGTGAAAAAGCATCACGCAAAGGGGCGCACAAATACCAACGGTTTACTCAAAGCCAAGAGGTTCGAGAAATGTATAAAAGTAGTTAGTCAAGGCAGTGACTCATTTGATGATACATACATAATAAGTTGATATCCGTATGTTGTTCTTCCTTCAGCCTCAGGTGTAGCAACAGGAGAAGGTTCGAAATTGGCTTCAAGTAGATGGAGTGCGATGTACAAGGCCGAGCAAGATTCTTACAAAGTAGAGAATCCACCCGTGAATGAACCCATGAACATTGCATCCAGCTCCATCAATCCCGTACCGGAAGCTCATTCCAACGTGCGAGCCAAAACTCGGTTTTTGGCGAGCGCGCGTGTAGCTGTGAATAATTTCATGATAAAATGGAAAATTGAGGTCCGTTTTCATTACTTAAAGACATCTATATATATTAACTTTATTGGACATTCAGGCCAACAATATGGCTGCAACATATGAGGGAGATTTTGTGATGATTGGTGTATCCAATTACTTAGGCGACGATGCCTACCAAATTGTCCGAGGTACACCGCGCGCTCTGAAATGGGTTGACCACGACAAGTTATGCGACCCCAAAAAGCACGCAGCTGCACAACTACAAGCGTTTGTGACTGGAACCGAGGCTGGGCTACTCAACTTGAGTAAGCTAAGAGTTGATGGTAAGTATCCAATGCTTTCAAAATCAATCGTCCACCTACTGACATGTCTAGCTTAACAGAAAGAGCAAGGTGTCGAGAAGCCCTAACAAATATGATCAGTAAGGCAATCTCACAAATCTTCCTTTCGTATTTGACTTATGATTTACCTGACTTCTTGATGACCTCGTATTAGATTTGAAGACCGAGGGAACTGTCCCCAAATGGACATGGAAAGGCTGTGAAGAAAAGCTCGCCATCAATGGCTACTATGTTCACTTTTCCCCAGACTCAAAGTCTCAAGCCACCGACATCATGCAAGACAGCAATTAGCTGACCCAAACACAGGCTCGTAATGTGTTGGCGGATCTTGAGCACAACAGGATTCTCATCCTGGAAACCGAAGCGGGGCCCACTCGAGCAACCAAACGAAAACGGCCCCATCATGACACACCTCACACAACATCTCCGACTGATGACACCCCTTCAGCAGAGACGCCTAATGCCAATACATCTCGCGCCAGTAACCCATCCGCTGATCAAACTCTCTCTGCTATCATTCCACCCGATGCTGACAACGCCTAATTGCTGATACAAGATTGATGAACACACCTAGTAACACATCCTCGATGATGACTCGCGGGCTATTTTGAACTTTGAAAGTTTCATTCAAAGATCAACCCCAATAATCCAAAAACCGATAACATTTGTATTCGGAAAGGTAGAAAATGTTTATTACATTGCTCTTATTCTTATGATATCAAGTTTATTTTTTTTATTCAGATTGTCTACTCTAAAAAACTCGATCATCCATGGACATAACTTCACTAGGATAATTACTTGGCTGAATCATGTTCACTTTGCTTAGTCCTTTCTTTGTTGGGAAGTTTACATGTACATGGGATTTAGATCGATTCATATGTGAAGCAATATCATCTACATCACAATTGAGTCCTTGAGGACTTAGATGGCTTTACTTGAACAAATGATTCCATGTGCATATTTGCAAATGACATTTCTCTACTCAAATGCACGCAGTTCACTTCTTTTGTAAGTCTTGGCTCAGTTGTTATTATCTATCACTCTTACATGACTTTGGGTATACCATTGTCACTCGTGTTCAGATTCACCAGAACATGTGCTTGCATTCATATCAATCGGGTTTGTAAATCCTTGGTGGCGAGTTATGAGACACTCTAAATGAAGAAATGATGACGGCTTCAAAATTTGAATGTCATGATGTGAGACGGAGTCACAAACAAGATCATTTTATGATGATACCATGTACGCATCCAGAAGACAATACGTTGAATTATGAGAAAGAACGATCCCCTAGCATTCAATGGGCTATTCCTGATGAAAAAACAAGAAAATCATCGAGGGCGCTTTGATTTGGAAAGATAATTGATCCAGCTGTTGAATATATAACAAAATCAACTATTCATCAATGTCTTTAGTGGTAGACGCGAGGATTGGATAGTTGAGGGTGAGGTGGTGGTGGTAGATCAATAATGGAAGCTAGTCGAGCCTGGAAATTCAATAAAATTCGATCGGATGACGACTAGAATCGAGTCCTCAAGCTATACTCGGGCTCAGGCCGAAGGCTCATGATCATGAATGACGAAGCTGTAGATGGCCCGTGAATTTCGAGTGTAGTTCGAGTTGTGAATGATGTTGACCATGCAGCGGGACAAATGGCCCTGACGTTCGTAGCGAGAAGCCAACAACGTGTGGGCCAATCAACACCGACAGCAGGTTAGATTGAATCGATAGGTTTTGTGAGTGGGTGATGCGAAAGATTTGTAGATTGAAGACGACGCTGAGTTGAGGGGGAATTTGGAACGTGGAAGGCTCTGACTGACATACATATGTAGCAGTTACATATTCCACCAGTTACATATTCTTAAGCCTTAAGCGGCTAAGTTGTGTACCTTGAAATTCAAAAAAGTTCTCGGGTCAGCGTAAGTTGGGGGACCGAAAAGGCGAGATGTGTGAGACGGTTCGAGATGAGAGACGCACCACTGGTAATGGCAGTATCGTACACGTTTTTACACTACTTCAAGTAGTTGGATACAGTACGCCAAGGTGACATAAGACTAGTGGAGCATAGGGCTATGACCCGGCAACGAGGCTGCAGGGCCGGCCCCAGGGCCGGGCCAGGCCCGGCCTCGGCCCTGGGAGTCTCCAGAGAGCTGCCGGGCATCAGAGGGCTGGCCCTGGGTCGGGCCAGCCTTATTTGGGAGCTACTTTGAGAGCTTGAAGGTCCGCTTGACAAGTTGTATTACTCAAGCAAAGAACCTAAAAGGCTAAAACAAAAAACAAACTGAAGAAAAAGAAAAAACAACAAGTGTAAAGAAAAAAAACATCACAAACAGGGAAACATAAGAAACAAGTTGTCAACTGAGAATTAACGAGTGTATGGAAAGAAAACATATTGATAATTGGAATAGAAACATTGTAATAGATTTCATTGTAATAGATTTACTTGGATGACAAAACAATTTCCCATGACTTAAGACAGATTTGTGCTTCAAAGTTTTGATTTGTCATAGACGCTCGATAATCCGACATAACTCTTGAACCAGCAGAAAAGATCCGTTCAGAAGGGGCACCTGAAGCAGGAATGGCCAGCATATACATAGCCATACGAGCTAGAACTGGCCAGTTAGATTGGTTGGTTTTCCAAAAGACTAAGATATCGGTTCGCTCATCAACAAGTGGGGCAAGAAGGTACTCCTTCACTTCGTCTTCAAGTTGAATGAACTTGCGTCGTTTGATAAAGTGATGTGGTCGGTCATCATCGTCATCGAGGACAGGTTCCGATTGAACAATTTCGATATCGGGATCTTGAGGAAGTTTGAATTTACGTGCTTGCTCGGTAAAGTAATCGATAAGTTGGTCTTTGTCAAAAGCAAGTTCTTCCAAAGTAAATGCAGTAACAGCATGAAGGCCGATTTC